ACAGGAATATTCTCCTCCTGCAGGTGAATACAGGTACATCCTTCACTCTCCTCAGCAGCTTCCTAACAGTCCATGGCTATAATACAGAATCACAGAGTGCTTTGGGTTGGGACCATTAAAGGTCATCTTGTCCAACCCCACTGCAGTGAGTAGGGACATCTTTAATTTGATCAGGTTGCTCACAGCCCTGCCCAACCTGACTTTGAATGTTTCCAGGGATAGGGCATCTACTGCCTTTCTAGGCAACCTGTGCCAGTGTTTCTCCACCCTGGTTGGAAAAAAAAAAAATATTCCTTATATCTAGTCTAAATCTACTCTCTTTTAGTTTAAAACCATTACTCCTTGTCCTGTTGCAATAAGCCCTGCTAAAAAGACTGTCTCCATATTTCTTATAAGCCCCCTTTAAGTATTGATAGGCCACAGTAAGGTCTCCCCAGAGCCTTTTCCAGGCTGAATGACACCAGCTCTAAGCCCTTCCTCATAAGAGAGGTGTTCCAGCCCTCTGATCTTTTTGTGGCCTTCTGGACTCTCTCCAACAGGTCTGTGTCATTCTTGTGCTGAGGACTCCAGAGCTGGACACGGTACTTCAGGGAGGATTGCACTAGAGTGAAGCAGAGGGGTAAAATCACCTCCCTCAACCTGCAGGCCACACTTCTTTTGATGCAATCCAGGATACATGTAGCCTTCTGGGCTGTGAGCACGCATTGTTGGCTCATGTTCAGCTTTTCATCCACCAGTACCCCCAAGTCGTCTACAGGGCTGCTCTCTATCCTTTCATCCTCCAGCTTGTACTGATACTGAGGATTGCCCCTACCCAGGTGCAGGACCTTGCACTAGGCCTTGCTGAACCTCATGAGGTTCACATAGATTTTTTTTTTTATAGATGAAATTTTTAATTTTTTTAATTTGATAGCATACTGGTGTCATGCCTGAGACATAAGGGCCAGGGGCAGGCCTTAAGGGCCAGGCTAGGTGTGTGTTTTGGAAGAGGGTCCAGGGTGATGCCTCCCTTGCAGCCTGAAACTAAGGGGGTCTGTGCTTTGTATCACTTACTTGATATATTGTTTCATTACTGTCATTTTTATTAGTGTTGTTTATTGCTCCTTTTGTGTTGTATTCAGTTTTCCTTATCTCAGCCCACAGGATTTTGTAGTTTTCTCCCTTTTCTCCTTCTCGTTTAGGGGGTGAAGGGGGTGACTGAGCAGACACATGGTGCCCAGGCTCCTGGCTGAGTCTGAACCACAACAACAGCTTTACATCATTGCCTTGAAAAAAAGTTACTGTAACAGTTTGCCTGCTAAAGACAAATATTTTAAGATGACAGTCTATCCATAAACAAGTTTTAAAGGTCACATTTTTCAGACAGATTAGATTATTTCAAAATACATAGGCTTCTTTTGTAAGCTTTTTAAGACTCTGGTATTTCAAAAGAGCAGGAACTCACGCACTCCACTTACTCCACCACTCTTACTACTATCTTACAAGTTGCAATACATAATTGCAATACAGCAGGCTCAAAGGAGACAAGACTGACGAGGAAAAGTTCAGTTGTACAAATCTGGGACCTGTGGGAAGAGGCACTCGCTGGAATTACAGCATTTAGCACCTCATTATCGGTCAGAGCATTTAGTTAATGCATTATTATTTCAGTCATTTATTAAATTTGAAAATCAAATATCAAACTGATTGTAGTGTCTGCCACCCAACAGGTATCTGATTAGAGTGTGCGAGGGCACCCACCAGGAACCGCAGCAGAAGCACGGTGTATTTTTATGGACAGAGTGCCACCGTGTGGGGAGCTCCTGCAGCATCCCAGTACGGCAGTGCCTGCGTGCTGGGCGGGCTTGCAGGAAACTCCCCTTCCTCCTGTGGTTTTTCATTGGAATTTTAATAAAAATACGATTTTTCGTTTCTGAAAATGTGCCACAAAAGTAGGAGGTTGCATAACTAGGGACAGGTAGGTAGTGTTAAGTCTTCTTAGTAAGTTAGCTATTGATTCCTCAAACAGTTGTGTTCAGAAACACAGTTTAGTAAGTCCAATAGAAGTGGGATCTCCCTTTTTTGCTGTATGAATTTAATATAGTTAGATATTCATACTCTTTTCATTTCTTTTGATATGTATTTTATCTCTCAACATCTGTTTTCAGCTGCAGTTTTACAAGGCTTCATTAAAAGCTTTCAATTTCTCAAGCTTTTCCATTTAATGATACAATTACTATCCCTGGTTTCTGCTTCTTTTTTATGTTTTCCTTTAAATAAGTGAACTTATATGTTACATCCATAAAGAAAATTGCCAATAATTAGCAGTACAATTAGGAATAAATCTCTGTTAAGGAACAAGCTAAAGTTCAGTGTCTTTATGCAAATGCCTATTGTTGAAAAGATGTCTTGTGTAATCAGGAATTACACTGACAAGTGAAGAATCATTTAATTAATGAGAATAGAGCAATCACTTGGATGGTTCATTCTATTATTGACTGAATAAAAGAAGGAAAATAGCCCTGTTCAGGGATTAGAGCTGCTGCTGGAAGAAATAAGCCCCACAATGCGGTTCTGTTACTGCCTTGTGGAGATAGCACAGTAATTCCTAAATATAAAACCACATGTGCCAAAAGTTTGGATTGGGCATCGAAAACTAATCATCTATTACTCCACACGAACTTACAAAGAAAGGTCCTGTTTATAACGACTATCTGCTGCTCCTGCTAGCCTGACAGACTGGAATGTTTGGGCCAAAATATGTAAATCCTAATGCAGGATGCCTGGGCAACGAGACGCAGGATGAGGACGAGTTCTGTCTGCAGGCACTGTATGCTGTGATGGAGAGGAGCGTACGGACTGCGTGTGCAGTCGTGGAGGAAGGAGACCGGTGGGAAAGGGCTTATGGAGGCCTCCAGCTCAGCCCTTTGCTCACAGCAGGTCCAGTTAGGTCAGGTTGCTCTGGGCCTTACCCAGTGGGCCTTTGAGTATCACCAAGGACGGTGATACTGCAAATTCTCTGTTCCAGCCTGAGCTCTCCTATTTTCCTTTTATCTAGTGAGGATTATGTTCCGGTTTGTCCCAGTTTCATCTCTTCCTGTCTAGCATCAGCTTCTCTACGTGCTCCCAATAGGCAGTAGGTAGCAATGACAGCATAGGTAGCAAATCCTATGTATGGTCCTCATGTCTCCAAAGCTCCTCTGAACATGAATATTTTGTTGCTTCTATTCTGTTCTTGCAACAGAATGGAGAGTTTTCCTGTCTGTGCCTTAGATCTGCCTCCTGAGGAAGCTTTGGGATGACTCTTCCTTAAGCTGACATTTGGTTTGGGACAGTTCAAAACATAGGCCAGGCAACTCTGTCCTTGCTCACCATTCTCCACGGTTGGACCTTCAGTAATGTAGCAGGCATTGGACAGAACTTGTCCCACTTCTTACCAACACAAAGCTATGTGAACACGGTGATTCTGCCATCTCCAAAGGCACATGTATCACCTGCAGTCTGTTCCTCGCAGGCACCGTTCCCTTCAGGGAACAGCACAGAGGTGGACAAGTAATTCTCTTCTGAACAGATCAGGATTTTGGGTGTGGGTGGGAAGCAGAAACTCACTCCAGAGCTGTGCTGGTATTCAAGCCACTGATGGCTGTGTGAAAGCCACCATTCCTGGCAGGACCACAGCATAAGCGTATGGTCACTGGCATGGGCCATAGAAAATTTAGTGGCTTCATTAACGTGCCTGCCTGTTTGAGTGGCATTAAAGACCGGATGATCTCTGCATGGAGCATTCTCTCTGTACTTCCAAGGTGCACTCAAACTCCCTTTCATCATACTGTATGTTTCTGAGGTTGAAGCAGACCGCTGCGCTGAGCTCTTGTGGTAGCCCCGAGTCCCTGGGACAGCTCTGCTTCCCTCTTTGGCACAGGACAGCCTCCGGGAGCAGCAGCCCCGACCCCTGCGGGTTTGGGTGTGCTTGGGGTTTTTCCATGCTGTGTCAGATGATTGCACAAGTAATTGTTTGCTTCCAACACTCAAATGGAAAACAAATTTATTATAGGAAGGAAAACATTCCCTCTGTTTTATGCTTTTTGAGTGTGATTGTTGAATTTTTTATTTTGGGTAACCAGATGCACCCAGCTGCTACTCTAGTCACTTCTGGATGGTTTTGATAAAAAAAAAAAAAAGCACTCTCTTCAGGAATAAATCAAATAAATGTGAAAATCTTCTCCCCAGCAAAATTCTTGTTTCTCAAAAACTGTTCATCCCACAGGAAGCCTAGATAAATAAGTTGGCCTTGCAAGCTGCCCACTGAATCTTTGGTGGTGGGATGGTTACGTAGGTGCCAGGATGAGTGAATTCCACAGCAAAGAACTTTCCTGTGGAATTCACTCACCAGCACGTTGCACGATCCTATTGAGCAAGATCAGTTTAGGTCATCGCTGACTGCAAGGAAGATGGTTCTGCTCTCTCTCTAAAGCAGCAGGTAGGTAATTTGATAAAGATCTGTTTACAAAAAGGTAACGTGTATCCTGTGTTACAACTGATTGGTTTTTTGGGTTTGGGTGTTTTGGGTTGGGTTGGGTTTTTTTATTTGTTTGTTTGGTTATTTTTTGATTGATGTGTCTCTTCCCCAGCAATTAAGATGGAAAACAGATATTGTCAAATATCAAACACATTACAAAAGTCAGTTGATGCAGTCTGTAGTGAAAGCCAGTTAAGAAAATACAGTATATTAAGTAAAGAATTTTCCTTAGGGGGTCCTAAAAGATGGAAAGAGAGATTTGTGTGTGTTTTCCTCTACCTGGAGTGGAGCAGATATCCATATGCTCAGTCTTACAGGCAACCCCATATTCAAGCTTTCTTTTGTGGCTAAATTTGTCTGCCCAGATGCGTCAGCTGCTTGGCTTTCTCTTGGCTTTTTGAGATACATGAAAAGGTTACAAGTAGTCATTTTACATCCTTGTCTCTCAGGTGTCACCTCTGCTGCCTCACTGTAATCCCTGACTCTGTGCTTTTTCCTCAAGGATTTTGGAGCTGCAGCAGAACGGCGACATGGACATATTGAAGCATAAGTGGTGGCCGAAGAATGGTCAATGTGATCTTTATTCATCTGTGGATACCAAGCAGAAAGGAGGTGCCCTGGACATAAAAAGTTTTGCAGGTGTTTTCTGCATCCTCGCTGCTGGGATTGTCCTATCCTGTTTCATTGCAATGTTGGAAACGTGGTGGAATAAAAGGAAAGGCTCCCGGGTTCCATCAAAAGAGGTATTAGACCCTCCATTTCTCCTGAGGAATTTTAATGCACCCTAAAGATTGCTGCCTTGACTTTGTAACATTAGAGAGGATGGGGAATTGAATTCAAAGAAATTTCCTTAGCTTCCTGATTTTTTTAAGGTAAATGTTAGTCCTCAAAATCTCTTTAGCTATTCTTTCTAGAAAAGCTTGAATTAAAAAAAAAAAAAAAGTGTACTGGTGATGTATAAATATGCAGCTATTCTGAGTAAAACACAGCTGTTACTTGTAGAATAGTACATTATTAATACATCAGTATTTCGTTAATTATTCTCATTGGTGAGAGCTAATTCTCACCAGTAAGTTCAAAGGTTTCTCAGCTTCTTCTTGAAAATTATATCCCCTAAGCTCAGTGGCTGAGTCTTTCAGAATAGATTTGCAAAGTTTAGCCCTTTAATCAGCAGTTAGCTTCTTAAATAAGCTTGTCCCCATTTTCTGAAGTGTTAACCTCTTGAGACTTCCATGAACTTCAGTTCTCATTATTTAATCTGAAGTCCAGGGAAGCAAGAGGACATTAGATTTTCAGATTCAGGCCAGACTTATTTCTGAAATATACTTCAGACTTATTTCTTAAAATATTGGATGGAGACCACGGGGAGATAGGTTCTTTTACACCAGAAATGAGTTTGCTTCTACACCTGCATGTGTAATGCTTTTCTTCCCGTGGCAATCTACCTGTCCCTTTACCAGCCATCTGAGCTTTATGCGGTCTTCCATCAAATTTCCTCCCTTCATAATTAAGTCTGCATCCCCACAAAATACTAAAAAAAAAAAAAAGGAGGGAAAAAGTTGTTAACATGTACTTGGCAGCAATGGCCAAAGCTGAGCCTAAATATGAGCTTGAATGTAGCACTATCAATTACAGCTTTTCTGTCTGTGTAGCTTAGACACATCTGTGTAGTTTGTGGGGTATTGCTGTTAATTTGTGTGCAGTGGTTTCACCTTCTCTGCAGTTTTTCCATTGTCTTTATTCCTGCTAACCTAATGCTGTGTAATCAGGCAGGTTTAATTACACTACCTAATTAGACAGCATTGGCACTGATGCTAGAATACGTTTAAACTTTTCTTGCCTGTTTTAATTCCCAAGCTTTTTTTTTTGTTCATCATCTGGACTGGACCATTATCGAAAGAAAGAAAAAGAACCTTTAGTCTTTAAATTGGGTTTCTCAGGAATGGAAACCATATAGTTCCAACTGCTAAATTGGAGAAAAGAAGATAAACAAAAAACAACTGAAATTTACTAGTTTCTTGTTTACCCAAACTTTCAGAACTTCGTATTTACCTGGTGCAAAACATAAAAATAAATAACAAAGAAAAAAAAAATAACCTGGATGTTTTACATAACTATAACATATCCTAATTTAATTTTCAAACAGAGACATTCAAGTGTATACTTTCCACAAATGGTATAATTTGGCCTCCTTGGTCTTTGTTCCCAATCATTAGCCTAGAATTTATAATTTCATCTCAAAACTAAATTGAAAAGCTTGGCTCAAAACTGAGTTTAACGTGGATGTGTGTGCTGAATGTCCCCACTATCCTGGATGTGGGGGTCATTCAGCAAAGAAATACATCTTAACTAACTTTCTTAAAATTCATTTTAGCTTCCATGAAATCCATTGGCTCTTCCAGGCCACTAGTCCAGAGTCGGGGGTCAGATTGGGCCAGTTTGTGGTCAGCAGGCCAACCCTTTTTCCTGGTGGCTGCCATCTTGTGCTCCAGAATGCAAGCATTTATACTGAAACAAATTGTCTTATGGTTGTGAAGATAACATTTCGGTCGCGTACCAGAAGTAACCCATTCGGTGATGTCTGCCTGAGTCTGCAGACAGCCTTAAGCGGTAGCTCTGAGAGAAGTATGAACCGCCCCAGTAATCTCAATGGGATGTTGACTCTGAAGCCTGATGATAATTTAAATGTGAAAACTGCTGAATATGTCACTACTGATCACACAAGAGCGAAGAGGAAAGATCATATTGTGGAGATATGCACAATCTTACTGTGAGTGGGTCTCATTTCGGTGTATCGATTGGGTGGAGATCGGGTTGTGGGCTGAGCATGGGAGAATATCACGGCTTACGTATTTTCACTGGTCTGACCCTAGCCCCAAATGCATCTCTGTAAGAGAAGAGGAAGACTTTGAGTAACTTACAGAGGCTCAGAAGAAACCGAATTCCAATTGTTTCCCAATTGGCATTTTACATGATGAAGTGTTTATTTGTTTTTCAAAATTAAAAAGAACCAGAGAAACAACAACCACCAAAAACGAACAAACAAACAAACAAAAGACCTAGGAAAAATATTTAGGACTGTCCCTCAGAGACACGGTTATGACTTGCACGTGCTAACGGAGCCTCTGTATATTTCTTTAACTTCTGATGTGGCCCCAGTTCTCCTGCATCTGTATGCAGCTCCAAAGTTTTCAGGAGAGGGTGTTTGGTGAATGCGTTTGGCTTTGGTGTCACCTGGTGTGGTTGTCATGGGCATCCATGTCTATGTCCACGTGTGAATAAACTATAGACGGAAAGCTAAGTCCAAGAAATGAGCAACTGCATTTTTTCCCTCCCCTGGTGAGCTCAAACCAAAGCTTCTGTGGTCAGTGATCATTCAGTCCCTGAGAGGTGCCCGTTGCCTCCTTCCCTGCCCCTCTTACCCCCAGTTTGTCTCCCTCTCCCTGACCTCGGAGGGGACTTTGCCTCTCAGCCTCCTTCCAGTCGAGCTCTGTGTTCGGCGTGGTACCAGTGCAAATATTTGGTGATCTGTTTGCTGAGCAGATGAACTCCTGCAGTTTGTTCTAGGTGTGGACTTTTTCAGAGTGCTTGACTTCAGTCCTAGACAAAGGAGGGATCTCAAGCCCATTTGGTATACTAGGAGTTTTGCCATTGATTCAGGGAGCTCTGGATCAAGCCAGTCATTGAATTGCAGTAATCAAGGCTGGAAGACATCAATGCACATCTATCAGCTGCCTAATTATCCTCTGTGAGGTCCTAGAGTGTGAGATATTTCTAGTGGCCTGGAAGAGCCAGTAGATTTCACAGAGATTAAGGTAAATTTTAAGGTTAGTTGAAATTGATTTTTTGTTCTAAATGAGCTGTGCTACCTAGACTGAGGGAATACCCCTGTGCGTGTATACTTAATGCTGCTTTGAATTAAGCTTTGCAGTCCAGTAGAAATTGTATTGTACTTGTATGTACAATACAAGTGATTTGTTGTGTTACCCAGGACTTTCTCCTCTGTACTTCCATACATTTAAATTCTCAATTATAACAAACAGACCTGTTTAAGTGAATTCTCTGAGAGGAGAGCTTTAAGAAAGAAAAGGTACAGAGGTAAGAGGAGAGAAGGTATAACAAATACCCCAGGTTGCCTTCCCTTCTTACCCACAAGAGCATAATTCCTTCAGAGTGGATGGAATTGCTTCTTTGTAGGTAAGGGAAGAACTAATCCCTCTGTTGGCATCATAATTTAAAAATGTCTGGTGTACTGCTTTCTGTGTGATGTCAGCAAGTCACCAGGGCTTGTTTTTTTGGTCTGGAAGTTCAGCTTTTCTACACCACAATTTATATTATGAAGGCAAAAAGCCACCCGAAATGGTTTTAGCCCTTCCTTAAGCCCTCCTGAGAAGATGAATGCTGACAAAGCCAGCAACCTGATCCCATAGAGCCTCCCATGTTGACATCCAAATTTAGTCCTTATTGCAGAGCTGAAGGACTGGCACCACCCCAGGCATTTGAGGTTATGCGTTGCTCTCACAGCAGGAAGCTTGCTGCTGTTCAGCTGCTGCTAGCTGCACACACCTAGCTCTGAGCCTGGCTTTTCCCGATGGAAACCGACCACTAGCACTCGAGGTTCAGTTGTTCGGATTCGGGGTCTGAAGGTAGCTGTGGTGGAAGGACCTGCCCCGGTTTGGCTTAGCCCACCCAGCTCCAGGAGGTGGGCTGGTGACGTTCAGAGATGCCGCCAGCCAGCAGGCAGCTGTAGTTCATGGTGCGTTGTGCTTCCCCAGCGGCCCCGGTCGCGCCGTGAGGCTGCCGCCCAGCACAAACGGCGATGGTGAGCAGTGCCTCTTCTTTCTCTCCTTCCCCAGGACGACAAGGAGATCGACCTGGAGCACCTCCACAGGCGCGTGAACAGCCTCTGCACAGACGACGACAGTCCACATAAACAGTTCTCCACCTCGTCGATCGACTTGACCCCGCTGGACATTGACACTTTGCCCACGCGCCAGGCGCTGGAGCAAATCAGTGACTTCAGAAACACCCACATCACCACAACCACCTTCATACCAGAACAGATCCAGACTCTGAGCCGCACGCTGTCCGCTAAAGCCGCTTCGGGTTTCTCCTTCGGCAGCGTGCCCGAGCACCGAACTGGCCCCTTCCGGCACAGGGCACCCAACGGTGGCTTCTTCAGAAGCCCCATCAAAACAATGTCATCCATCCCTTACCAACCGACACCTACTCTGGGGCTGAATATCGGTAGTGACCCAGACCGAGGCACCTCCATCTGAGCGTCAGACCAAGTTTCTTCACTGTTTCTTTTTTAGGACTCCCTTTGCAAGGAGCAGCTGTAATATTGTGGGACTAACATGGATGTAACCTTTTTTCCTTATTTTTTTTTATTTTGTTTTGTTTTTGAGTTTTTTTTCTAAATTGTTTGGGGGTTGTTTTCTGTTTGGGTGTTTAGGGTTTTCCTTCTTTTTCTTTATTTTATTTAAGAATCAGGATTATTAGTAACAACTCTTCCTCCTCCTCCTCTTCTCTGCTTTCTCAGTCTGGTCTCTATCTCCCCTTATTCTCTTAACTACTCGAATCACTTATCCTTTGGTTGATCAGCCCATTAGGTTTTGGATACTTCAGGCTTTTCATATACTTTAAATATAGGAAACGTGCAGTGATTCATGCATAGAGAAACCCTGAGGATTACTTTACAGAAGGGCATTCGCTCCTCCTCTCTCGACAACTTTTTTTACTATAATTGCAATAACTTAAGCCCATTTCATGTATTCTGCTGCATCCAGTCAGCGCTCCACTGCTGTGTGTCCTTTTAACTGCGGACCAAAGGCAAACCCTGCAGTTTAAAAAAATGGAAAAATTTTAAAAAAAGGCAAAAAGAAAAGAAAAAAAAAAAAAAAAAAAAAGGCAAGCAAAACAAATGATGGTAAATGACCATTCAGGCCCCATAAATGTGAGAATGCAATTTTGTAGGATTACAAAAAGCCATTACTATGCCAGTAAAGACTACAGTTAAATCTACTTTTGCACTGCAACAGTGCATATGACCTTTATGTGATTGTACAGTGTTAAAAGTTTTTCTTATGTACAGTAAACTGTATCATATGGCAGAAGCCTCTGTTGTGTTAAATAAATTAGTATCTCATACATATATATATACATATATACATACAGGTATGTATATATATATACATGTATATATAGCTATAAAATGGCAGCCGTTGCTATTGCAATTCATTTAATAAAGCTTTAGTAAAAATGTGTTGTATACAGGAAAGATGTACAGTGCAGGGGGTCTTTTCATTTAGAAAAGACAGGTTGCTTTAATGTTATTCTGACTTGCATCGTTTGCCAACAGAGCATATTTTATACTTTTTTATTAGAACATCCAGGGCAATTTAACGTTTGTACCTAGATGTAACTCCTTTGGTTAGGTTTTGCATTGGCTACTGAGCATTCTATAAGGCTAACCTTGATACCTTTACTTTTAATTAATTAGACAAATGGAACTTTCTCTCTTAGGCATACCACATTCAAGAACAACTAATATAGCTCTAGAGAAGTTTAAACATAGATCAAAGGTTGATAAATTATTTTCCAAATCAGTACAGTTGATCGATACAGTAATGGTGTTAGTGGAGAAAAAAATAACGCCCTCAAGAACTACAGATGTGGCCTTAATTATAATCATGTATTGTTCTAAGGCAAAAAGAAAAATATGAACAGACACTCATTTTAACCCTTTATATGTTAAGTTAGATATAGAGGAGCTATGTATTTTTTACATTAGTGCCAACTGTATAGAACAAGAGAAAGAACAGCAGTGAGAGCAAAACCAGTGCCCGCTTTGGCACCAGCTTTTTAAAGTAACACTGTTACCTGTTAGAAATGTAGGAAGAGCTTTCAATTTGTAATCCTTAAAACTAAAAATGCGGTTAAGTAGAAAGCAAGCAGTTTATCCTGTGAGTTTTTTTTGTTTGGTTTTGGTTTTAATGCAACCATACACTTATTTTAACCTAACTCATTCTTTGGCTAGGATTAATAGGAATCAGCCTATGTGATTTGCTTTAGGATAAATTAAAAGGTATATTCTTCAGATCTATTCTATTTTGATGCTAATTCTGTTCCGGGGGAGCATCTTGTACTGTCACTGTTTTTTGTACTAAATCTTCAAATATTGTCTACTGTGTAAGGCAGAACAAATTCTTATCGTGCGAAAGGCCATTTTGTTTCCAGGGTAGCAAGTGTCTAAAAGCATGCACAACTTGCTTCTCCCTTGTAACATTCATGAACTCATCCACACTTCTGAGCAAAAAAAAAAAAAAAAAAAAAAATTTTTAAAAAAATTACTTTCCAACAAGCTATGTAGGGACATACCAGATGTTGCAGTGATTTTAGCTATTAAAAAAAAGAAAAAACCAACCTGTTAACCATGTACAATATTTAAAATAGGCCTATTTTGATGTGTTGCCTATTATACAGATACACAAAACACTTTTTGGAGGCCTCAGTTACAAGTGGCAGAGCTTTCTGTGTATAATTTGTCTAAATAATTTGTCTAATAAAATTGTTTTCTAAACTTGCGATTCCTCCTGTTCAGTTGCTGAGTGCTGTGGGATTTTTTTCAGTCAGTGGCAAGGCGTCCACTCATGAATGGTTTTGCTCCACCATTACTGAAGGGGCTTTAGCTCACGGAGATGGGATAGAGCATCCATGGAAACCACCAAGATTTACCATGACTATCCGTGTCAGGCTTAGATTTCAGAAAACATATACGGTGTTTTGGAGAATGATTTGTAGAACTACCACATCCCACCTCCATCCTTTTTAGTGTAATCTAGGACTTTCCTTGGAACTTGGTCATTATTTCTACAGAATCACGTTCTGCTTTCTGCATGTGCACAGAAGTTAGTTTGCTTTGATACTGGATGTACACTGCCTTTAGATTTGACAAAATTTTAAGTGTGAGAGAATTTGGCCTGTGTTTCATTGTGGCCTTCTCAATCCTTAAGTTTCATTAACAACTTAATGACATTAATGACTTGTTTCATTAATGACTTACTGGCCTAGTCATTAGTAAGTTGTGCAGAATGTACTGCAATAACACCAGCTGTGATGATTCAACTTGCAGCATCCAAAGTTTGTCTGCTGCCTTTTTACATTCAGTGTATTTTATTCAATAATATTGTTGAGTGCTTACAATTTTCTATTAAGCTTAGCAGGCATTCAGGGAATTTCACCTTAGTTTCAAAAGTACATTGGAAGGAGTCTTCAATTCATTCCTACATTAAAAAAAAAAAACAATGGAATCTAGACAACAAAAATCTAAAGGAAGCCAGACTATTGAAAGTGACTTGAGGTTAAAATTTAGAGGTGCCCATGCAACAATGCCAACAGGCTTGTACGTCAGTGGGTGCTAAGTGCCTAGCAACAGGATGATAGAAGCTTTTATACTCAGGCTACATTTATTATTTCATAAAATGACCAAGAGACAAGGTCTACTTATTTTCTGTGAGGCAGAGCTAGGGCAAACTGAGGCACTGACCCTAAAGGCCCTTGCGCACATTACGGTGTGTCTAGTTAAAGGGTCTCTCAGCCACTAAGAGGTTTGTGTGATCAGGGTCCTAGTTTTAGACTGTTCCTGATCTGTAAAGTAATCATGACCTGCTATCATCATGAGTCCTGTCCTGCTGGCATCACTTTATTTTTAGCATAGGCACTGTCCCTGTCACGCTCACAGACACACCTCTCTAGAGCCAGGTAGTTGTACAGATACTACATATGGACTCTACAACAGGCTACATTAAAGTGAACCCTATGTGACACTTCTCCTCCCTTTCTTTAAAGAAAAATCCAGTGAAGTAATAGTATTAAAGACTGCTAAATGTGTCTGCTGCAGTAGCTCCACTGGAAATACAAGGCAGCTGTATCTAGAGGTGAGTTGTTTGTATGGTGATTCCAGACATGCAACCATTTTGACATAACGGTGACAAACAAAAAGCAAGCAGTGGAAGAAAACGTAGTTATCTGATTTCAAGGCATCATTTAGTGAGATGTTTCTATTGATCAATGGCGAAATACCTGGAAATAAAAAATAGTCCTGCTGCACCAATCAGGTGAATTATTACAGCTGTCACTGACTCAGCCACAGCATTGCCAGAGCCAAAGCCTCCTGGGTTTTCCCCTGTCTTCACAAAACAAAGTGCTAGTATAATTTCTCTAAACAGATCAGCCTTTTTTTAGAAGTACCTTTTTCTCTTTCTTTCCCACTCCTGGAGGATGCTACGAAGCGATGAGAACACAGAGCTGCCTTTCTGTGAGCACTTGCTGTAGCGGGGCCAATCTGGCATAGTGGTGGTTAACACCTGGGGTAGCTTTAATTTCTCAAATCTGCAGAAAGGTGTTGACATGAAAACCAAACCAACTTCCCATGTGCATGCATGGGTGTAGCTAACAAAAAAATAGTCTCCAAAACAACAAAGGCATGGCACCAACACAGCCCTGTTTCATCATTTTTCTCTCAATCCTGAGATCTGTGTTTCCTCTGGAAGTGCTGGGGTTTAAACCCCAGCCCTGAATGAGGGTTGGTTTATGGATGATGTCCACAACCAGGCAAGAAAGACCCTCCTGACTGGTTTTCACCCAGGGTCTGGCCAGCCTTGGGTGGGAACTGATTAGGAGATCACCACCAGGTTCCTCGCCTTCCACATTAACTTGGAGGCGGGTCAAGAAGCCACCTCTGTAAGAGCTGATTCTGCTGGCACTGGGGTCGTGGGAAGTTCACCTACACAGTAGATGTGCTGTGTGAGGACTCTGGTTACTGGAAGGGCTCCCTGACTGTTTACAGCAAATTCGGTTCCCAGCAATGGTGGGGCAAGATCATGAGGCTTTCTCTGGGAAACTACTACAAGACTGGACTGATTGCCTGGCTGATTGCCCCCCCGCCCACCATGGCTTGGTTTTTGAGTCAGCTCGCTTCCTCCTTCGCATCATATGCCATGAGTGAATGTATTAATCTGTTCATTTCTCCAGCAATTTGCTATCTTGGATCTCTTGTGTATGATGCAAGACCAGGGGAGGGATCTGGCTATTATTTTGCTTATTAATGATAATATCCTTCTTTGTCAGGCAAACAGTCAGCAAAAGACCTCTTCACTCTGCAGAGGTGTTTTGAAATAAATGTCCAAGTCAAGTGTCTGCTGCTAAGTATGAGTTACAAAGTTTTTGATAAACAATGGGACATGAGCACATGCATCCACCTGTCACATCAAGACCAGTGGGCAAATGCAATCAGATCATCACGACCTATCAGCTTGTCATGTCTCATCCCAGGCATCGTTCGTGAGGTCAGAAAGAGCA